ACATGCTTACTTCTAGCAAGTAGAAACTATTAGTATTCCTATAGAATAATATTAGATTCCTATAGGCAAACTGAGGCCAGAGGGTTAAAGAAACTTGTCAAGGCCTCACAACTTACTTGCTGTACCAAAAACAGGATTTAGCCCCAGGCCCTTGGCACCAGCATCTGTGTCCTCATGCCCATGTTGTCCTTCCTTTCGGCTACCACCGGCCCCATCCATCTGCACAGCACCCATGAGGCGGATGGGGAAGTGCCCCCTAGCAGGGGCAGTGGGCTACCCAAGGCCATGCCTTGGTGGTGACCAGACAGGGTGCTGCAGACACCATGCTGGGAGGCTGCTTTGCTATTGGCATTGGGTGAAACGCCATGCAGAGAAACCCAAACAGAGAAGCAGGACAGTAGTACTGGGCATGCCCAGCCCCTGCAGGGAAAGGCACATGCCCCCTTACATGGATGAAGGCCACAAGTCTCCTTTGGGGGGAAATGCTGCTTGGAGATCCCCAGTCCAGTGAGTGGGGATTGTGACATGGATCTGGTTAATAAGTTCTAGCTTGTCAGTGTCGCAAGAGCAGCCCAGCAGGAGTGGCCAGGCCCACGCAGTGTGGCCCACAGAGAGCCTGGTGCCAGCGGGGACACATCCCGGTGCAGCCTCTGAGGGCCTCATTGCTGGGTCTGCCCTGCCCCATCCTCCCCCAAGGACTTCTGGGATGACTCGTGTGCCCCAGAGTCAGGAACATTATTTGTGGTGATTGGGCCCCAGGGAGGGAGACACTGGACAAGCCCTTCCTAAGTAGAAAGAAATTCTGCCTTTTTTTTGTTGTTCATTTTTTGAGTGAAACAGAGATCTCTTTACTTGTGTCTAATTCTAATTCCATTTGCTGAACTACACAAGGCATCTGGAATGGAACCCTGGTCTGGCCAGATTGTTGCTGGCGCAGTCCTGTCAGCTGGGCCTCCAGAGCCACCAGGACCCCACTCCCACCTTCCCCATGGCAGTTTCTCACTGTAGGAGTCCCCAGGACAGGAAGGAGGCGCCTCACCATCTCCTGCTTGTGCTTCCCTGCCTTGGTGATCTCAAACCCACTCGTCTTCGGCTGTCTCACGACAAGCCGTGCTCCTGCCCAGGGCCTTTCCACATACCTTGCCTGGCTTGCTGCTGGGCTGCTACAGTCCAGCCACGATGGCCTTCCTGCCGATCTTGCTGCTCACGGCACATCAAGCATCCTCCTGCCTCACAGCCTTGGCACTACTTGCTCCCTCTGCCTGGATGCTCTTCCAGGAACCTTGAAAGTGACCAGATCTCAATGCAAATGTCCCCTTGGCAAAGAGGGCCTGTCCCAACAGTCTGAAGCAGCACTCCACCAGGATTGGTCCCACTCTGTTCTTAAATGTGTCCCTGGCACTTATTACTGCTGAAATCATAGGGTTTCTATGTAGGTTGACCCCTCTGGAAGGTCACCTCTATTAGGAAGAGGACTGTTTTTCTTTCCCATAACGCCTGTACCTCACATAGTTTTGATGACTATTTAAAGACTGTACTCACAGCTGTAGGAAGAACTCCTAGCCTGCAGCCATTGAAGGCCACTCATGACTGAGCCTCAAGGTATCTTTCTGGCTTCTAAGCCCACTACTCCTCCTCAAGAACCTGGAGCTCTGCCCACAGTACATCCCTTAAGACACCAGCCACTTAACTTCTCAATGATTTTGTCTGGCCTTTCCGTCTGCAATTTCCTTTCCTCATTTTCCCACCTAGTAAGCTCCTGTACAGCCTTCAAAGCCCAACACAAATGCCCCTGCCCTGGAGAAGAAAAAGACAAAGGATTTGGATTAGACTGGGGTTGAAACCTGGCCCTATCCATCCTGGTTTGAGCAAGTTACTTCCTTTGCCTTGATCTTAGTTTCCTCCTCTGCAAACTGACATTACCAATTCCCTCTCTGTCCAGCTGTCCATCTATCTGCCAGCTTACCTTTTCTCCTGGTACCCTCTGGAGGTGCCTCTGATCTGGGCACACTCCAGCAGCACTGGGGAGTGGGCAGCCGTGAAGTGAGTATCCAGCAATCACGCCTTTCCTTTTCCCTTACACTCAGTGCAGTGGTTCCAGTAGGCTTCCTCCTCTGGGGCTGCTGGGACAGGCATGTGGCCCAGACCTGCCCAGTCAGAGCCTGCCACCACTTCCCGCCACTGGCTCAGAGATAGGCACTGGGTGACCAGGTCTTGGCCCGTGAGATGCACCCTTGGGACCCTAGCTGGAGCTGTTGGTAAAGGAGCCTTTTGGGGCTGGGGTTGCTTAGAGTGAAGCTGAGAGCACCCAGAGCTGGAGCTGGAGCTGTAATTTCAGCCCTGGGATCCATCTGTGTCCCAGGCAGGACCTCTGGATTCTTTAGTTATACTCACAGACAGATGCTGTTCCTGGTTGAAGTGAGTCAGAGTTGGGCTCATCCTCACTGAGACCACCACTGTCTGTGGGTGGGTACCAGTCTCAGTTCCTGCTCTGCCTGCCTGTGACTGAACAGGGTCAGGACTGGGGGGGGAGTCAGGTGCTCAGGTGCAGACAAGGGCACCAATGGGGCTGCACCAAGCAAGGAGACTGAAGGAATACCACCAGCTGGGGGCCTGCAGGAGCTAAGACACAGGGGAGACAGGGCAGCTAGAGGGTCCATCTGCACTCCCCTAGCTGTGCTGGCAATGGCCCTGACCCCTGCGCTGAAGGGTGCTGCTGTGGAGCCCTTGAGGGGCCTGCTGGGCTCCAAGACCGATTCCACAATTCCATCTCAGTCCTCAGCAGCTGCCTCAGCCCTGGGAACTGCATTTCTTCTGGTAGGACCCAAATACAGCATTTCATCAGCTATGAGTGTTGTATACTGCATAATTGTACAAGCACACATCCTTGGGGGTGTGTGTGTGAGGGGAACAGTGAGACGGGGTGGGGGTGGAGGAGGGAATGCAGGGCCCCACCTAAGATCCCTGGGTCCTTCTTGTACTCTCCAGGAAGGATGATGCTGTGAGGTCTCAGTTCACATGTCACCCTCTGGTACAAAGTGCTGGGCTCTAAGAGAACAGGAGAGTCGCAGGCCAGCCTGGAAAGGAGGTGCTGGGCTGCCTTGGGAACCTTGCCCCTTTGACACTCTCCCTTCCCTGCCCCCCAAATGCAGGGCCTTCTAGCAGTTGCCAGAGGCTCAGTCTGGCCCCAAGGGAAATACTCATGACTTCCAAACATTTGGAAAGATGCTGACCTCTGTGGATGGATGAGTGATCAGAGTGGAAGGAGAGATCTGATGCTATGGATAAGCCAAGGAAGGGCTTAGGCACCATCAGGCTCTCACTGGGTGGTGTGTTTTGGGGTGGAGGGTACAGAGCTGAGACCCAGATGGGGAAATGCTGCCCAGGCTCGAGTGCAGTGGGTATTTCTAGGTGCAACCCTGACCGGCACTCCTGGGCTCAAGTGATTGTCCCCTCACCTCAGCTTCTGTGCTCAGCTTGATTTTGGTTTTAATATTAAACACGTAAGCTCTGTGAGGCAGCAATATTTGTAGGTTTTGTTCCCCACTGTCTCCCAGCACCTAGGTGGACGCTTGCATGAACAGGCACCCAGCAAAAATGAGATAGGTGGTATTGGAGTGTACGAGTCACCCTAACACCTGCTCCTTCTTCCCTGTGCCTGTCCTGCTCCCAGGTTTTGTGGGGGAGGGGGTGGTCCAAGACCTCGGTTTGTTTCTCTTCTCTCAACATGGGTAGGGAAGGTGGCAGGAGAGTGTCCCACAGAGACATAGGGACACACAGTGCAGTCCCGTGAGGAAGCATGCTCCTCTGCAGACACCCCCTGGGGCCCAGGCCCTCGGGTTTCCTCTCACTTCTCATACTGGGGCTAAGCCCTGTGGATTCAGTACCCATCATGCCCTACCCTGTCCCAGGTACTGGGCAATCATTTGTCTACTGAATGACGGGGTAGACGGAGACACACACACACACACCCCAGGACCACACCCCAGACCATGCTGAAACAGGAGAAGCAGGAGCACAGATGGGGGCATGGGGGTCAGGGGTAGCTCCATCTCCTGGGCTTGGGGAGGTATTCAGGTCTGGCCTGCTGTGTCTGGACATGCAGGGGACAGGGGATGGTGTAAGTGTCAGGGAGGATGGGCAAAGGCCTCCCAGCCCTGCTCTCTTTCTCCCACACCCACTGCCAGTGGTCCCTGCCCACCACTGACTCACTGGGGCTATGTCTGCAAGGCTCCAAGGGTCAGCCTCAGATTCTCACAGAGCTCACAGAGGGTGGCGGAGGTGGCCAGAAATATCCTCTACACACACACACACACACACACACACACACACGAGGCAGGAGGTTGGGAAACAGGGCAGATTGGAGCCTTCAGCCCCAGGCAGACTGTGCAGACCCCACTCAGTCCATACCTGTCCCCGCCTCTCTGATCGGTCTCCTTCTTTGTGAAATGGGCTGGGGAGGCCTGAGATGACCTGAGCAGAGACTCAGCGTGAACACTGAGCACGTGCCGGGTTCAGGCAGGTACTCAGCCCTGCAGAGTCATAGCGGCTGCCTCGGGTTCCCCAACCAGACCATGAGGGCGGTGAGAAGGTGCTAAGCCTTCCCTGTGGGAACCTCAGGGTAGGGCAGCGGCTCCAGGGAGCAGTGCTTAATGTGCAGAGGGGCACCCTCCCGCTCCCTCTCATCACTAACACCCAAGGGCGCCACACACTCAGGGTGTGAGGGTAAAGGTAAAGGAGGCTGCCTTCCTGGACTGACCACATGTCCTCCACCACACACAACAGACTGGTCTCCCTGGTACCCAAATGATCCCCTCTCCAGGCTACGAGAGACCAACCTCCAAGGGGCAGCAGGACGGTGGTTCGCGGAGTTATTAAAGCCTTTCTGGGCCCTACCAGCCCTACGCCCTAGCCGGGAAGGAGACAGCAGGTGCCCCTCCGCCATGGAGAGTTAGGCGGCGGGAAGTGGGCGCGCAGCCAGGCCTCGGGCACTCACTCACCAGGGCGCAGGGCGTGCGGTGCCGCACACAGGAGCAGGAGCGCGGCGCCCAGACTCGCGGCCACCAGCGCGCGCCGCCTCCAGCAGCGCCTCCCCATGCTGTGCCTGGTGGCGGAATGGCAGTGCCTGTGTCCTGCTGGGGGCGGGGGCGACCGGCCCAGGGCCCGCCCCGGGACCTGCCGGGCCGCCTGCCGGCCGGCGCGTACCAAGCCATGCAGCATGGGGGTGCGATGGCCCCGCTCACCGGGGATGGGCTTGGGGGGACAGAGGTCGGACCCCAACCACATGAGTCTCTGCCATTCTCTGGCCGCTGGGGACTGGGGAGATGGGCAACGGTAGATCAGCAGTCCTGCTCCTCTTTTCGTGTCCCCACCCGACAGAGTGGACGGGAGCCCTGTCTCTGGCAAGGCTCTGCCCCTAGGGTTGCCCTGGGGCGTCACGGTCTACCCCAGAAGCATTGTCACTGTGGTGTGCTACACACCCCTGGGTAGTGTCCTCTTGCCTTTTTGCTGCCCCAGATAAAGGAGCCCAAGGGTGGATCTGGGATGAGCCAAGAAGCCTAGAGGAGGGACCCCCCCTCTCCCCGAATATCCCAGCACCCTGCAGCCTTGCTTTCCTTGGGGTCTCCAGGGCCTGCCTGAATCCTGGCTGCTCATGCAGGTCCTGGCAGGACTCTGGGAGGAAAGATAAGGGTCTCACACTTCCCTGGGCTTCAGGACTATTGTGCCTCATCTCGTCACCCACCAAATGAGCATCAGAGCTCCCCAAGGACTTGTGTAGTTTGTGGGGTGGGGAGAATGGTGAGACTAAGGTCCAGCCTTGAGAGATAAAGGTATCCAGCCAGCCCCTGGGCGTGGCCCGCGTCTTGCGCCCACAAGTTAGGTACTGGAAACTGGAGGTGTGGCTGGCACTGCATGTTGCAACGTGAGCCTGCGGATGGGGCTCTGCAGTAGGCCCCAATTCTTAAGCTGCTCTTGAAAAATCTGGCAACTCCAAAGGCTGCTGCTCCCACTTTCCAGCTGTGTGAGATAGGTCCAGTGGGATCACAATGTTTTGAAGATTCAGTGACATCTGGGAGATGTTTGTGGTGAGTCCCATAAAATAATTAACTTATTTTATGGCTACTGCCTATGTCAGGCAACAGGCTCTGGTTTCTGTTACAGTGGTAATGTAGAAATTCTTTCCTGTTTTACAATTATTTAAGTTTTAAAAGGTCTATTTAGTTCTTCTGGCTTTAAGAGATGGGTCCAAATGGTGAGGGTGGTTCTCAAATGGCAGAGGGATGGGAAACCCTGCCTGGTCTTGTGGAACCTACCATTCATTCCTAGACTGGCCCAGGATCCTGAGATCCTGAGTCCTCCTCCTCTGCCAGGTCCAACTTTCTTCCAAACCTGCATTTCTAGGTCTCCTCAAGTCTGCACCTCAGTCCCCTGTCCCCTGCCCAGGGAGTAGTCAGTGCTAGTGTTGGCCTTCTGGGCTGCCACCTGGTGGCCAATGTTGAGAATAACATTTCCGTTCATCTTTGAACTGCGATGTCTGATGTTCAAGGAGATGGGCACCTGGGGGCTTAGGAACTGACCGGGGTAGATCTTGGGTCTCAGGGTGTGTGGGAGTGCAGATGCCTGGCTAGAGAAGACACCCTCTCATGGGGTCTTGATCCATGAATGAATGGATCAAAACCCACTCTGTGCCTCAGCTCCCATGGAGGGAACAAACTGATAGCATCTGCCCTCATGGAATTTCCATTACAGGGGAGTGTAGGAAGCTGGAAGAAATAAGTGCTGCAATGAATGGTTCCCTCTATGAAGAGCGTAAAGCAGGTTAAAGGGATGGGAGGGGAAGGCCTGGGGAGAAGGTGATGTGCCTCAGAGATGGGGCTCTGGGGAGGAGCAGGTTTGTGGGTGTATGGGGTGGAGTTTTTCAGGAAAGGAATAGCCCTGGCAAGGGCCCTGAGGTGATATTTCAGCTGCTAAGTAACACATTGCCATAACATTTATGGGCTTAAGACAACCATTTACATTTTGTGAATCAGGAATTGGTGGTGCTTCTCACCGGGGAGGGGGTGTCATGCTATAGCAGTCAGATGGCAGCTAGCTGGGATGCTGACCAGGTGGGACACCCTGATGGCTGGTGGTTTGGATGAACCAAGGACTCCCCAGCACTCCAGCCTGCAGGAGCCTTGCTGACCTGGCCTGGGGCTGCCAACTATTGGTTACCTGAAAATCACAAAGATAGGCTCAGAGTCAGGAGTTGGGGGCCAAGGATTTCTGAGTATGATTTAAAACCATGGTTGAGAGCAACAGGCAACTCTGGTGTGGATGAGAGTGGATGAGGGGAGGTCAGAGAGGCAGGAGGGAGTGTGCATCCCCAAGGGCTCTGTGTAGGGATAAGCACCCCATGCTCAGACATCCCGTCTGCAGTTCCTTTTCCCTGCGTCTCCGATCAGAAGCTCCAAGAACACTTTCTCCCATCAGAGGCTCCAAGAACACTTTCAGCTCTGTGCATCATGGGTTGCAGTGGGGATTTTTGGAAGCACAATGGAAGCTGACCATGAAGAACCACTAAGTGATGATGCAGCCTCCACTGCTCTGCTGGCCCAGGGACGGGGTGGGGCCAGGTGAGGGCGGGAGCTATCTCTCTGCTTTTCTGATAGAGGCAACCATTGGGGGAGTAACATCTCATCTGGTGCTTATTCTGTGCCAGGCTCTGTCCAAAGCCCTTCACATGTGTTGTTCCCTCTGATCCTCAGGTGCATCCCATGAAGTCCTGTTTCTACTTTCATTTTACAGGTGAGGAAACTGAGGCACTGAGAGGTTAAGTAACTTACCAAGGGCACACATCTAGAGAGTGGTATTGCCAGGATTTAAACCTAGCGGTCTGCCGTATCTCATCTCTGTGAGATCGTCATCGCTTCACAATGTCTGTCTGTTTATTTTTAAATTAAACTACTTATTTTGAGATGCCTAGATCTAGGCGCAGTTGTAGCAATAACACAGAGAGACCCCATGTCCCCTTTGCCCAGTTCCCTCCCGATGGTAATGTCTTGCGAAGCTGCAGCTGGACTGCACAGCTATGTCCTGAGATGCATCATCCGCCCGTCTTCTGTACAGTGTTAGAAACATTAAAAAACTTGATTGCAGGCATTTAAAAATCAGGAGGTTTCAGAAAAGCTGTTGGGTTTTTGGCCTCTCTTAAGCCATCAGGTAGGGAGGCTTCCGGAAAAGCAAATCCCAGCCAAGGTTTCAGTGCAGGTAGTTTATCCAGGATGTGAGAAGTGAGGCCAGGAAGGGGAAGCATTAGCTCCCAAGGCAGCACAGCCCAGGCTGCTGGGGACCCTGGGCAGGGAGCGTGCTGCCCCCAACCCATCCTCAGAGATCAAGGGACCCAGGGAATGGGAGGGGGCAGGTGGCAGAGGTCAGGCTGTGTGACTTCCATCTCAGGTGCTCTGTACCTTTGGCCTGCAGTAGAGCCTGGTGCAAGAAGGTGCTCTCTCCATTGTGCTGGATGGATGGAGCAATAGCAGACAGCGGGGCTGCCCTCCAGGCATCCCCCTGCTGGGGAGGACCCTAGTGGATGAGGAACAACCTTCTTCCTCTATATTCACACATGAAGCACAGCACAGTCTGGGGACCAGCATATGGTCACCTCACATGTGAAATTTTGTCCCCACCAAAAAGGAGTTCTCCCACAGAGCTGGGTGTCCTCCAACTCAATTTGATCCTGGTATGAACCACTTGGGGATAGTGTGGGTTGAGGGCCCAGTCTCACAAGACTACTTCTCCCCACGTTAGATGCCAATGGCAAACCTCAGACAGTGACCTGTGCACCAGCCAACTGCTGCAAATTGGGAATCCCCTTGACCTCTTTCTAGGATTCGATTAATTTGCTAGGATGGCTCACAGAGCTCAGGGCAACACTGTTGTTACTAGCTTATTATAAAGTGTATTACGAAGGCCATCACTGTACGGCCGGGTGGAGAGATGCACAGGGCAGAAGGCCCGGGGCTGCTGCACCTTCTATGAAGGACACAGCTGAACAGCCGGGTAGAGGGATGCACAGGGCAGAAGGCCCAGGGCTGCCACAACTCACTGCCTGCCACCCTTCAGGGACTTGCATGTTCAGCTGCCCAGAAGCTCTTCTGAATCCTGTCCCTCTGGGGTTTTATGGAAACTTCTCTGTCAGTCAAATGCAGAGATGGGGATTAGGTCCAATGAGCTTTATTATTAGAAGGCCAGCAATCTGGAGAGCGGCGAGAGCGGCCCCTCAAATCTGTTCTGCCTCAGTTACAAGTCTAATAACTTTTATAATGAAATACCACGAACCAAACCTAGGAAATTTTAACTTTATCTCATAGGAAGTAACATCCAGGTAGTCTCCATTCTAATCGTGAGAAATGTTTAAACGGCAGAAAGGTGATTTTTACTTTAACAAAATATTTAAGAGACTCATTTAAAAAAAGTCAAATCATCAAAGTAACATTTACTCTGCCAGTTCACAACACCTATTGTCTAAGTGTGACTACATCCCAACATCCTCATAATCACGGTGAAACCTTAACTAGATAATCACAGAAGATGTGCGGGGAAGGCGGAGCAGGCTAGGTCTGCTGCACTGCCTCAGCTCAGCTTCTCAGATTTCATCTTGCAGACTGCTTTTCTGGCTTCAGTTGGCCATGGGTGATCAACTTAACTTTTAGCCTCCCTCCTGTCCCTGGGGCTGAAAATTCCAACCCTCTAACTATAGATTGGTCTCCCTGGCACCCAACTCCCATCCTGCAATTACACAGCAGCCAGCAGGAGTTGCCTCATTAGAGCAAAAATTGCTCCTGTCTCCCAGGAAATTCCAGGGGATTTGAGAGCTCTGTGTCAGAAGGTCTCATCACTCAGGAAATTACCAAGGTCTCAGGGCCTAGGGGCTCTGTGTCAGGAACCAAGTGAAAGACCAAATCTTAGGACCAACGCTTAGGAAGCTGTCTCAGGAATGGGGCAGAGACCAAGATGTATTTCTTATTCTGTCACAATTCCATGCCCAAAACTGGTACCTGCTTGTGCTGTGACAGCGGGAGTTGCCTCAAGGGCAGCTGGAGCAGAAGGCTCACATCCCAGCCCCTCCCATGACTAGCAGTAAACCTTGGGCACCTCCTTCCACTTTGGTTTCCTTATCTGTAAAGTGGGACAGTGAGCCTGTCAGGACCAATGGGAGGAGGAGGCAAGCTGACTCTTGGAGAGTAGACACCCAGAAGGCACAGCTGGCCTTCCCCTTCTCTCCACCAGCCCTGGCTGGGCCTTGCATAATTGCTCTCGCTGAAGCCTGGGCAGTTAATTAACCACCCATTGTGCAGGCTGGGATAGGCTGAAGGCACTGTCCTGGCCAAGAGCAGAGCTGGGCCCACAGCCAGGCATGCTGTTTCCCCAGGAGCACTGGGATTCAACTGTAGCCACTTCCTGGCTGTGAGAGTGAGACCTGGGCCTCGGTTTCTCCACCTGTAGTAGCAGGCTAAGGAAGAGTACTTTCTGGCAGATTGTTAATGGATTTGGGCATGAGGGTCATGTCCCAGGCAGGTCCCTTGGGAAGAGCTTTGGGAATGAGGTACACCTGCTGCCAGGGGTCCTGCACACCGGCCAGGTGGCAGGGAGAGGCTATTCACACTCTGTGCCACATTCGATGTCACCTGGGTCCTTATCAAAACACAAATTTCAGCATCACTTGCTTGGTGTAACGCCCCCCTAAAACTGCCAGAGAAACACAAACTAGGACCCTCCAGGCCTGCACAATTGCATCATGGAAAACATGACCCCCAAAGCAATATGCCACTTGAAAGGGCAAATCTCCCCTTGAATGAACCTGTCTTTCCCCCCAGAACACTGCCCTCCCCCAAGTCAACACTGCAGGCAGCTCACCTGGAGGCCAGTGACCTCTGAGCTGCACATGGCTCATTGTGCAGGCCTTGGGCCCAATGAGGGCTGGGGAGGTGGCTCTGGGGCTGGAGTCCCTGCCCTGGAGGGCTCTGACTGCAGTGTCTTCCTGGCCTTCCAGGTGCCGGCTCAGTCTCAGCTAGACATGTCCTGCCTCCAGGCACTGTGCTCTGGCCTTCCTCTGAGGCCTCTCCCGGAGAACCAAGGTCTCTGGGCTGGGGTGCCACATGCCCCTGTCAGGACTCCTGGCCTCAACTTTGAGGAGAAGCAGGTAAGAAATGGGACCTATGCCCCCATGCCCTCCAGCAGGTCTGTGTGGGTACCCTACTTCCCGCTGCGGCTCCTTAACTGCCCACCCCCCAGCAGTTCTCAACCTGTGGGTCGAGACCCTTTTGTAACAATGAAAATACATCGTGGCATTAGGAAGGCTGAGAACCACGGCTCTAGGGGCTTCCTGGGGGGTGGAGGTGATGGTGTGTTCTTTGGAGCTTCTGATCGGAGACGCAGGGGAAAGAACTGCAGACGGAATGATGATTTAAGGGAGACCGGGACTCGCTCTGGTCGGCGGCCCAGCTAAACTTTACTGATTACCTTATATACTTTCAAACATTCAGTAAGAATTTAACACACATACAAAGAAGTGAAGTAACATTAGGAAGCTACCATTTAAGATTACAATTTAGTGTGAAGGCTGAGGAACACATATACAATTGATTTTGTTTAGAGTAAAAACATAAGAGAGACTGGCTGTCTGTTCCTTTTAGCCCAAATGGAAACTAGTGATTATAATGTTCATGAATGAGGAAGGCAGAGAATAGAACCCAATGCTCGAAGACCGGTCTGTCCACCCCCAGCTGCGACCCTGGCTGATTCTCCACACCTCCCAGAGAGAGACTTTTCTGCATATTCCTGCATATCTATAGGCAGGTACAGAAGCTCGATCTTCAAAGAAATGCTTCTCAGAATCAATCTCCTGGAGGAGTACATTGAAGCGAACTGCCATGTCTGAGCAAGGGGAGCTTATCTCCTACATGGGGGTGTGATCCGTGCTGCTTTCTGTCACTCTCAGCATCTCTTGGATGCAGCCATCCTTGGGTGCAGGAATTCCGTCCCCATTTACAGATGAGGACCCTGAGGCTCCAGGTCACCCATCCAGTAAGTGGAGGCACTGTGGCTACCTTCAATGTGAGGAAGAGCTGGGCAGGTGTGAAGTGTCCCGTAGTAAACACAGACTGTGTACTTTGTCCAGGTCCCAATGCCTGTGGACTTTTACATTCTACTTCACACTAGGTTAGCTCACAGAGCCTCAGACTCCTTCGGGTCAAGCGATCCTCCCACCTCAGCCTCCAGAGTAGCTGGGACTACAGACATATGCCACCATGCCTGGCTAGTTTTTTGTTTTGTTTTGTTTTGTTTTGTTTTGTTTTTAATTCTTGTAGAGATGGATCTTGTCATGTTGCTCAGCTGGTCTCCAACTCCTGTCTTTAAGTGACCTTCCTGCCTAGGTCTCCCAGAGTGCTGGGATTCCTGGTGTGCCCCCACCCACTCAGCTAGTGTTTCCTTTGTGAATGCCCCTCTCGGCAAACCTGCCAGTGAATGTGCAGAGGTGAGGCTAGAACACTGTTGGGGGCAAAAGGGAGCTGGGGAGGGTTAGGGCTGAGGCCAGGTGTCTGCTCACCTGATTGTCCTCCTTCACCTTTGAGAAACAGGCTGAGGAGGGAGGTTGGCTGGCCTGGGGGTCCCCATGCTGCCCAGCCCCTCAGCAGGTCACTGGCATGTAGGAACCTCGCTTCCCTCACTTGTAAACTGGGATGAAAAGGTCTAACTACAGGGGTGCGGAGACAACCAGATGGAAGGAAGCAGGTGACAGGTGGCAGAGGTTTTTACCTACTTCTTCTTTACCCCCAGTTACTCAAGAGTTTCAGGAACCGTGAGGGGAAAGTGGAGAGTAAAATGTTAGAAGAGGAACCCCAGCCCCAGTGAAGACCACTGCCCTTCAGATGACTGCCCTGGACTGCCCAGCAGAGGGCTGGCACTGGGAAAGGGGGAGGGCAGAGTGGTGGAGGGGCAGCTCTGGGGCTGGGGCGGGGAGGGGGGCTGATGGGATAGAACAGGGTGGGAGGTGGGGCATCCTGCCCCTTGGCTCAGCCAGTGGCTATCCAGGCACTGGTTAATGTTTTTTTTCCCCTTGGTCACCTCCCTGCTGGGCACCAATGGCTTGACCTTCATCCTTTGGTCATGAGGGCATGGAGGAGCCTGCCAACTGCCGGGCTCAGGTGCTCTCTGTGGCTGTGTGATGGTGATTAGCTCCCAGAGCACCTGTGCTGGGAGAACCAGCAGGCCACTCACGTTGCTCATGACTGCCCACCACCTGCTTGAAGGACACGAAACCCTGGGAATAGGGACAACTTGTTGTTTGGGGACTCTGAGCCTGAAGGGGTTCCATCTTCCCTCTGGTGCTAGGGCCGCCAGCCTGCGGCTGTCCTGGAGCCCTGCAATGGCTCCCTGCACAGCTTGCTTTGTGCTGTGCTTGTTTTCTTTTTCTATTTAAATACATTTCTTTGATTTTTGACATAAATTTCCAAGACGATTTTATAAGAAGTCAGATATTATGAACATGTACGTTCCCAGTTCACTTCCCCATGTCACTGTGGCCATTTTTGGACCCATCCTCCCCAGACACACTCTGAACCTATCAGGTGCTCAGAGCGTCTGCATTTCCTGGAGACTGTGCCAGCTCCATCCAGACCTCCTCAGTGCCCTGAGAGTCGCCTCATCTCTGAACAACTCCCCAGACCCCCCTAGTGCCCTGAGAATCGTCTCATCTCTGAACAACTCTGTCCTGACCCCCTTAGTGCCCTGAGAGCTATTCATCTCTGAATAGCTCCCCAGATCCCCTTAGTATAAGGTGACCAGATTTTAACATTGGTAAAGCAGGACACCATTGATGGGGGGGGTTTCTTAATTAAAAATTTGGTCTATATAGAGCAACAAAAATTTTCATAGAACGCAAAAATAGTATTGTAATATATGTTTTTTAATTTCAACATAAGTACAATTTACAAATATAATACATTAAAAAATTACGTATAGTATTATTTTATTCTTTGGCATATTTCTCATTTGAGTGAATTTTTTTTAGTAGATTGCTGTTGTTATTTAAAAAGTCACGAAATTTTTCACAAGAATTTGTTAAATTATATTTCACACATAAATGGCTTTCAAAGTCTCAACACTTAATTGTGATTTTTCTGATGTCCACACTTTATTTACCGTAGAAAAAGCGCGTTCAGTCGCAGCATTAGTTCCTGGTAAGGACAGCATGTATCCCATAATTTTTAGTGCATTATTGTATGGAACATGGTTTGTTTCAAAATGATGAAATATTTCTAACCATTTGTTCTCTATTGTGATTTCTGCTGATGCCCAAGATTTAACCTTTTCCTTATCAATCTATTTTTTTGATAATGATACCTCATAAATCATAAGTGTCACTTTCAAGGCTGGGGCTAGACTTTTTGCTGCCACTATAAAATATAAATAATATGAGTACTGTCTGCTAAATTCATGAAAGAAATAAATAAACTGCTTACCTAAATTATCTGAGGAGCTGGTTTGTTGACATCACTTGTTTAACTAGCACTAGCATGCAGTATGATGTGTATCGTCTGAGAGACAGTTACAAAATGTTTTCGTCATTGTCAATGCCAAAAAATGCCATTGTTCATTAAGTCCAAACAATGGTGGTCGAATTCTAACAACTGATCAACAATGCGAACTTTGATAAGCAGTTCTCAATAATCAGTTCTCAACAATTACTTGTTATTAAAGTTTATCATTATAAAATTAACAAAAATAATATAAAACTCATATCCTGGCAAAATAGCCACATAGCAGCTGAAAATCGTATATTCCCTTCCCGTTCTCCCGCCATTCCCTAGCTTGTCGTGCATTCTTTCCAAAAATCGGGACTTTTTAAAAATGCTGTAGGACATGGGACAAACTGTTAAAAATTGGGACTGTCCCACCAAAAGCAGGACATCTGGTCACCTTACCTTAGTGCCCTGAGAATCGCCTCATCTCTGAACAGCTCTGTGCTGACCCCCTTAGTGCCCTGAGAGTCACCTCATCTTTGAACAGCTCTGTCCTGACCCCCTTAGTGCCCTGAGAGTCGCCTCGTCTCTGAACAGCTCCATCCTGACCCCCTCCGTGTGGGTGTGCAAGTGTCGGGCAGAGGAGGGCACCCTCCACGCGAGCATGCAGGCATTGGGTAGGGGAAGGTGCCTTCCGTGCGGGCGTGCGGGCGTCAGGTAGGGGAAGGTGCCCTCCGTGCGGGCATGCGGGTGTCAGGCAGGGGAGGGCGCCCTCCATGCGAGCATGCAGGCATTGGGTAGGGGAAGGTGCCCTCCGTGCGGGCGTGCGGGCGTCAGGCAGGGGAGGCTCATTTATGGTGCAGGTGACAGGTGCCCAAGGCAGAATTCTTACTGTGCCTATAGTAAGTGCTGTGAGAAATCACCACAAATGTAAAGGCTTAGAACAACAAAAATTTATTCTCTCATATGCTAGGGGTCAGAAATCTGAAATGGGTTTCACTGGGCTAAAATCAAGAAATATTAGTGAAAAGTACTGATTTAAAAATCACGCTTGTTCCTTTGCTTTCTTATTGTACCACATGAGCCTCAGTTTGGGTCACAAAAATTATATATCAGATTGTCCTGATTTATGTTTTACAGATTTGAAAAGTTCATAATGGATCTTTAGTAGCATTAAATATAAAGTGTTGGATTAAAAAAATGCAGCAGGCCTTTGTTCCTTCTGGAAGAGAGGACTCGTCTCCTGGCCTTTTTTAGCCTCCAGAGGCCACTGCTTTCCTTGGCGTGGGGCCCCTCCCTCCAGCTTTTTTATTTATTTATTTATTTTTTGAGACAGAGTCTCACTTTGTTGCCCTCAGTAGAGTGCTATGGGGTCACAGCTCACAGCAACCTCAAACTCTTGGGCTCAAGGGATCCTTTTGCCTCAGCCTCCCAAGTAGCTGAGACTACAGGCGCCTGCCACAATGCCTGGCTATTTGTTGTTGTTGTCATTGTTGTTGTCATCTAGCAGGCCTAGCCCAGGTTCAGACCTGCCAGCCCCAGTGTATGTGGTCCGCGCTGTAACCGCTGAGCTACGGGCACCGAGCCCCCTCCTTTAAGCTTTAAAACCAGCAATTCAGGATCCTCAACTGTGTGTCACATCACTCTGACACTCTGCTTTTGTCCTCATGTCTCCTTTTCTGAGTTGGACCCTCCTGCTTCTCTCTTACAAGGACCCCGTGACTTCCTAGGGGCTACTTGAATAATCTAGGATAATTTCCCCATCCTAAGATTCTTACGTCCATCACATCTGCAAAGACCCTTTTCCATATCGGGTGATACACTCACAGGTTCTGGGGATTAAGATGTGGACATCTTTGCAGGAGGGAATGTCTACAATACCATCAGATGCCTAGAGCTCTCTGGAGCCAGCTCTAAGCCACTAAGCCTAAGATTCTTGTGTCTGGTACAGTGTGGGATGGTAGGTGTCTTTAGAATAGTCTATTCAATTTCAACGTTTCAACATCTGCTATTTCCGTCAGAACCACTGGTAGCACATGTTATATGACTACCAGATTCAGTCACACCGGTGAAAACCCATTCCTGACATTCTTACACTGTGTGGCCACTGCTGGCACACACTGAGTTGTGTAGAGCTGCAGTGCATTGGCATTCTGTCAGCCCACTAGCTGACCTGGGTGTGAATTCCCAACTAGCATGTTGGCTGCCTTTCCCTGTGCATTCCGTGGCATTTTAAAATAAACTGAAGACTTCAGAATAAAGAAGCTGCGAGGGCAGGATGTGCTGGGTATTTGGAGAGAAGGGCTAGGGAAGGGGCGATCAAGAAATACTTCCCAAGTTCTAGCTCTGGGAGCCCGAAAAGTATTAATAATAGATGGGAGAGGGCACCTGGCACCTTCTAAATATACAGCTGAGTGGCCAGTGCCAAAAGAGGAGGAGACTGACTGGGGTGGTGACCTGCGCACACACACAGGCTAGCAGGTGGCAGGACTGGATACAGGCTCAGCAGTGCCCGCTGTCCCATGGTCATCAGGAAGCAGCTAACTCCATCACTCCTCCTAGCCTGTCCAGCCCCATCACACCTCCCAGCCTGTCCTCACGGAGCCTGAGATACAGCACCTGGCTCTAACCTTCTGACCCTTTCCCATGGGGCAGTGCCCCTCGAGTGTCCACTGAAATGCACCCATCTCTGCTAGGCTCTCCTTGGCCCATGGAGGCACCTGGACCACCCCTCCAGGCCCACCTGCCACAGGGCTGCTGCAGAACCCTGGGCAGGTCCCAAAACCTGCATCATTTTCTCAGCTTAATGCTGACAACTTTCCCCAATCAGAGGTTTAGAGTATTAAATCAAGGCCAGCAAAAGGAGCCTTTCCCCTTCACTTAAGATACATTTATTGCATGCTTATTATGTAATTCCAGACATAGGAGATGAAGTATTTACAACTTGCTTGAACGTGAAATTGCAGCTAAGAAGACAATTAAGTTCTTGAACTCATCCTAGAAAAAGTGCTATTTACCTCATTGCTGAATATCACTAAATCACTACAGTTGCCTCTGAAATACTCCCGTCGGCCATCTGGTGACTGCAGTGATATTCAGCAATGAGGTATGGAGCACTTTTTCTAGGATGAGTTCATGAGCTTAATTTTCAGAACTTGTAGTTTATCCTAGGAATAAAAACCTTTGATATGGAGTAATTAACATTAAAACGTATTTAGACTAAATTACTGAATTTCAGAGAAAGAAAAATTCAGTGGTAAGGAAATAGAAATTTTATACTGAGGAAAAATGGAGCCAACAGCAATTGTGTGCTGTGTCTAGGATTTGGACCCTGGCGCATTCTTCATTTCCAAGAAGGTCAAGTTGCTTGGACATTTCACTTTTTAAAATGTCTGAGTCATTTCCATCAACTAACCCAATTCTAAAATCCTTTTTTTTTTTTTTTATTAAATGATAGCTGTGTACATTAATGCAATTATGGGGTACAGTGTAGTGTTTTCATATACAATTTGAAATATTTTCATCAAGCTGGTTAACATAGACTTTATGACATTTACTTATTGTGTTAAGACACTTATCATCGACATACTAACTTTTGTTGTGCTTTCTTGAGTTACATAATCATCTGAACAATGTTTTGAAATTATTTGGCATGGCAGAATTACAAAAGAGGTCTTCCTTGCCTCCAATGTTAGTAAAAAGGGCCTCAGAATGGTGGGGACAGTGGACCAGGCTGCAGCCATCGCCTGTCAGCAGGTTCTGAAGTCGGTTTAGGAGTCTCAGGCCATATTTATTAGAAAGTGAGATAAAAGAAGGTAGAAGGGGATAGGTCTATTAGAATTCATGTAGGAGAGTTAGATCATGCGCTATGGGGTGTGGGGATTTTCGTGTGTGTGATCCAGCATTTGAAAGCTTTTTCTTTAGTGTTTAGTTTTGCTGGCAAGCTCTGATTAGAAGATACGTACCATCTAAAAATCCCCAACCTGTGCATCGAGATGTAACACACGGGGAATGTCTGAAATCAGAAGTGCACTTCATAGACACGTGGGCATAACAATGCCCAGAGGCGGCCTTGGAGGGTGCTTACCACCGCGGCCTCCAACTGAACCCCTGGGCCGTGCCTGCTCTCACACAGCGCCACGGTGGGATTACGCAGCTTCTCCCTTCCAAATCAGCTTCTTTCCCTAAGGTTATGGGGGGAGAGCCAGCCCTTGGGGCTATGTAGCTGGGACTGTTCAAGACCATGGCTGAGGTACAGCAGTCCTCACAACAGAGTCCCAGGCCATTGGCATGGGCTCCTCCCAGCAGCTCATCAGAAACAAAGATGGGGGTTGTACCAGGACCTGGGTGATATGATGCCTGGGGAGCTAGAGATCCCAGCACAGGCATGTTCCATGCCCCTGTTCTTAGGGAAGAAACTCCGTTTTCTGAATAGCTTTTTCTAAGAGAAGGGCTTGTGTACTTCTGCTCCACAGGGCTGCTGCGAGAAAATGTACTAGAGGGTGGCTCTGAAGCCCCTTTCAAGTCTTCCCAAGCTTCCTGCCTGCACCTGCTCCCCACCCCCATGAATCGCCCCTCTTACGTACTCTCCTCCCACCCTGCCCTGCTCCAGGGATCCCTGTGTGCCCACCTGTCACTCAGCCCCAGGAGGCCTTAGCCCTGTGGCTCTTTCCCTCTTTACCCAGCCCTGGGCTCCTGGCTCCAGGGTGACCTGCTCCCAGCTGGGCTCCTGCCTCTCTGCCTCACTGGCATGTCAGCCATGGTCATGAACGTCCCCACTGTACCTCTCAGGGGCTGTCTTGGGCCCTTATCCTCCTGTCACCTCCTGCTTTCCTACCAGAGCCTGTGTCTCCTCCTAGCTATACCCCAGCACACCTCAGTGGGGTTTGTGGAGTGAGTGGGCACATTTACTGCATGTGGCCCCTTTTGACCCCTTGCCCTCAGAGTGGCTTGTTAGCCAGCGCTAGCTGGTTGAATAAATGGCCTCAACACCCACCCAGACACCTGAGCATCACCTTGAGTCCCATGTCCACTCCGTTCATTGCCACCCAGGGCTTCTGGCCCTCCTGGGACTTGGCATGACAGGCTGTGAGCAAGGAAACATAGGGCCAGCTATGAAAAGTTCTGGAAGGAAATGAAGATGGAGAGAGAGGGGGAGTCAGGGCAGGCCTCCAAGGAGGGGCTCCTAGGCTAAGGTGACCAGAGGTCCCGCTTTTGGTGGGACAGTCCTGATTTTTAACAATCTGTCCCTTGTCCCATGTCCCGTGGTGTTTTTAAAAAGTCCCAATTTTTGGAAAGAATGCACAACAAGCTAGGGAATGGCGGGACAAGGGGAAGAGAATATTTGGCTGCTGAAAAGGTTAATATAACTCCATTTGGGAATGAAGAGGTTAATGTAACTTCATTTGGAAATGAAAAGGCTAATGTAAACTCCCTACTCCCCTCCTGGGCAAGGTTGCCAGGTGGACCAGTGCCCTACTCCTTTGAGCCACCCTATGCATATTTTTTTAAATGTATTATATTTATAAATTGTACTTATGTTGAAATTAAAAATATATATATTACAATACTATTTTTGCATTCTATGAAAATTTGTGTTGCTCCATATAGACCAAATTTTTAATTAAGAACCCCCCCACCCCCACCCCGTCAATGATGTCCTGCTTTACCAGTGTTAAAATCTGGTCACCTTGTCCTAGACTGAGGCCCAAACGAGACAAGGGCCTCCAAGAGAAGTTAGGGTGGTAGAGGGAGCAGAGGTGGAGGAAGAGTGAGAGCAGAGGCCTGAGGCAGGACTGGAGCGTGTAGAGCCTCAGAAGACAGTGACTGCAGGGCATGTGGGGCTGCTTTCCCTAGTGGGGGATGAAGCCCTCGGGGCTGTCCTTTACCCTGCTGCCTGGCCCTGCCCCTAGGCTCTGCCCAGCCTCCAGTCTGCTGGCTGTGCTCTGTGCTGCAGGTGTGCAGTTGTTGTGCCGAGGCTGCCCCGACAGCAGAGAGTGCAGCTGGCCTCCATACTGGGTGCTAGTCCATCCCCCACTAGGTGTACCTTCGTGAAAGGGGGAGAGGAGACAATCAGGCAAAAATTCCTGTACAAAGGCCTGCAGTGAGAGCCAGGCAGTCTCTGTGTGGGGCAGAAGGGAGGAGGTGCTCGGCCTGGAGTGCAGCCCCTGCCCTGTCTCCCCCAGCTGGCCCTGAGGAATGCTCTGCGCTACTTCCCCCCGGACATCCAGGAGCTGCTAGCTCCTGAATTTGCCCAGGAGCTGCGACTGTATGGGCACATCTACATGTACCGATTCTGCCCCAACATTGAAATGAAGTGAGTGCTGGCGGGCACAGTGCCAGGGGCTGAGACGGGAGGAAGCTCCTGGGTGGGCCTGTTTGCAGATCAGGAACCTCAAAGAGTCAGCAGTGGGACTGTAGTGTGGTCCAGGCTGTCCATGCTGGGAGGCAGGGAGGTGGGGAGGCGGCCATGCTGAGTTGATGGGTGTTATGTGGGCACCTGGAGCCAAGAGCTGTGGAGCCCTCTCTGCTGTGGCCCCAAGCCTGGCTAGAAGATGGGGACCATCTCAGATAGTCCCTCTGGCCTGACCCACAACTCCTGGGCAGTATACAGTTCCAGAGCCAAATTGTATACCAACCCCCTTTCTGAGTACCGTGTCTTGCTCTGGAAAGGTGGGGAGGGCTGCAGGGAGGCCTGGCAGTGAGGCCTCCTCCTTCCCACTCTCCATAGGGGTCTTAAGCTGTAGTGTGCACAGCACTGCTGTGGGGCGCTTGGCCTCACCTCTGGCCCAGCAGTTCTGGGGTAGGGCTGGGGAATCTGCATTTCTAAGAGTGCCCAGAGCTGTTGCTTTGAGAGCCACTGTTCTAGAATATGCCAGGGGGCCAGACTTACCTTGAATCATCCCAGAGTGTGTTGGTGCAGTAAAGCAGCAACACTGTCCCTCATTCCCACAGGTGTCTCCTGGCCTGGCACCTGCTGTAGAATTGGTGCCCAGGAGAGTTGTCAAGTGAATGAAAGATCAAACTCTGCCCAGAGGGCAAGGCTTCTGGAAAGCAGGCATCATCCTCCCAAGTGGAGCCTGCCAGTGGGGAGAGGGGTGGTTGGGAAGTGTGAGGCTCAGATAACCTGGGCCTAGAGAGGGCTCCACAGTGCCCCACTGTGAGCTCCCCGCACAGCCTGCCCATACCTGTGTGGTCAGATGCCAGGCTGTGGCAGGGTGGGGAGCCTGTGGACTTGCTGTTGTCACCCTGGTTCTGGGCTTCCCTTCACAGGGCCTACCCGATCGAGCAGTACCCCTGCCGGGTGAGAGCTGCTGCCGCCATCATGCACATGATCATGAACAACCTAGACCCTGCAGTGGCCCAGGTAACAACCAGGGAAACTGAGGCAGAGCACTGTGCAGTAGATGTGGAACATGAGACACGCATGTTGTGGTTTTAAGCCTTAAACTTGGAAATACTTAGAGATTCACAGGAGGTTGCAAAGCTAGTCCAGAGAGGTCTCCATGCCCTCTCTCAGCTGCCCCGTGGGTTACATCTTCTGGGACTGGAGCCCAACATCAGAACCAGGACAGGAGCTTCATTACAGTGGAATTAAGTTTCCTGATAGCCACATGAAAAAGTAAAAGGAAATGTAATACTGTGTTTCATTTATCCTAATATATCCAAAATATTATTTTAACATGTGATCAATACGAATATTATTTGTGAGATATCTCACCGATTTCACACTGAGTCTAAAATGCATCACACATGGCGCCTGCCTATAAAAGCCTGTGGCCAGTATACTGGGTGGCATGGGCCTGGCCGCATGTGCCCATCTGGGCATCCTGTGACAGCTGTCAGGCACCTGTATCTCAGAAAGGGTAGCCTTGGTGTGTGTGTGTGGGGGGGGGGTCCCTGAGTTCCTTGGGGACCATATATTGCTGGAATTTGACCACTTCTCCTAGTAGGAGAGAACATCCTCAGCCCCTCTCAGGCCTTTGACCCCAGACCTCAAGGTGAGCCCTCAGCTTCATCACAGGCAGGGCCAGCGTTCTTACAGCCCAGCTGTCCCAAGGCCTCCCCCTCTGACTCCTCCCCTTGCCTCTACTTTGCCCCTAAATTCCTTGCCCCACTGGGCCCAGCTGAGGGTGGGTGCTGACCTTCCCCTCCCTGCCTGTGGCTCTAGGGGCCCCTCCAGGCCCTCATCTCAGGTGACACTGTGCCTTCTCCAGTTTCCCCAGGAGCTGGTGACGTATGGAGGAAATGGGCAGGTGTTCAGCAACTGGGCTCAGGTACGGGGGCCACGTGCCATGCCTGCATCCCACCAGTCACGCCCTCATGGCATCCTCTGGTCTCACAGCAACTTATAAACCCATGGTTGGAACTCAGGTGTCTGCCTCGCTGGCTTCTGAGGCTCTAGCACTGCAGATAACTTGGGGATGTTTCAGCCTGCAGGGGTGAGGGGTGCTGCTGGCTGTGCCAAGAGCCCCTAGGGCATAGCAGAGACCTGGGGGCCCGCTGAGGCCTACAGGAGCTCTCTGGGCCTGGGCAGTGGCTTGGGGGCCCAGTGTGGAGCACCATTTCCCCTGACAGAGGTGCTACACTGTGCTGTCTTTCCAGTTCTGGCTGACCATGTCCTACTTGTCGAAGATGACAGAAGAGCAGACTCTGGTCATGTACAGCGGGCACCCGCTGGGCCTCTTCCCCAGCAGCCCCAATGCCCCACGGCTGGTCATCACCAACGGGATGGTGGGTTTCCAGGCAGCTGGTGTGGTACCTGCCAGCCTTTGGGGGGCTGTGAGGGGAGGGAGGAGGGCCAGGTGCCCTTACTGCACCCCCACCCCTCGCCTACTGCCTGCCCCTATCCCTCTTTTCCAGGTCATCCCCAACTACTCCTCCAGGACAGAGTATGAGAAGCTCTTTGCCTTGGGGGTGACGATGTAAGTTACCGTTTCAATCTGCATGCATTGTTATAAAGCAATGTGGTGCCATTAAGTATAATTTCAGAAAAACGTGCACAATTGCAGCAGCGAAACAGTAGTTTGATGTATGTGCCTAAAATTTTAATATAGTTGAACATGCAATTTTGAATCCTGTCCTTTCCCAACTCTTTATTATGAACAATTTCAATCATGCAGATAATTGGCAGAATTTATGGTGAACGCTACCAAAATTCCGTGATTAATCTTCTACTGGACTCATTATCACGTGGCCATCTCTCTGTCCCTCTACCTACCCATTTAGCTTATTTCTGATGCAAATATTACTAACTAGAATTCAGTATTTGCTATTTTATTTTATTTTATTTCTTTTGGAGAGAAACCTGTGTGTACTCAGATTTTGTGCGTCCATGTGCTCCCTGTGACACCCTGACAGACAGCGCCCCTGTATAGCCCAAGCTCTGCCCAGCACAGGAGGCCACTGTTGCCCCAGAGAGCTTCCTCATGTCCCTGCCTGAGCGTTAACTTTCATCTGTGATAAAGTTAGTCCATGCTGCAAATGGAAAACTACTTTGTCAAGCATTGTAAACAGAAGGCGCCACAGCAGAAGGGGAACTCCTCCCCAGTGTATGGTGCCTCTCGTATCCTTGTAAACATTTTCTGTGCACACGGACTTACAGCTTAGGTGGCTGAGTCTTTGTCGGCCACCTCTGCACCCTGCATTTATCCCTTCAGCAACAAAACTTGTTCCACACAGGAAACACAGGTCTAACATATTCTTGCTTTACCTGCAGTGTTCAATGGTACTGTAGTTTATTTAGTTTATTAGGAAGCACTCGTGTGCTTCCTAATTTGGACTGTTTCCAGGTCCTTGGGATTATAAGTGACGCTGCAGTGAATGTCCTGATCTGTATATCTTTGTGGACCTCTGGGAGTGTCGCTGTAGGAGAATACCCATGTAAATACGGTCAAATCTGTAGTGCTAAGAGCCAGGTAACCAGGCCTCCGGGTAATACTTCATAATCATAATAGTGTCCACAATGTTTAGCTCCAGGGTGTGTGTGTAGGAGATGCCATCACATTTAAACATCTACACGTAACAGGTACAGTGAACACTGTCTGGGTGACAGGCACACTTACAACCAGGACTCAAACATTACAAAGATGATTCATGTAACCAAAAACATTCATACTTTAAAGCAGTGGTTCTCAACCTTCCTAAGGCTGCAACCCTTTAATACAGTTCCTTATGTTGTGGTGAACCCCAACTATAAAATTATTTGTTCTACTGTAATTTTGTTACTGTTATGAATCATAATATAAATATCTGATACACAGGATGGCCTTAGGCTACCCCTGTGAAAGGGTCGTTCGACCCCCAAAGGGGTCATGACCCACAGGTTGAGAACCACTGCTTTAAAGTAAAAAAAAAGTCTGCACATCTTCTGAAATAAGTGTCCTTATTAACCCATTTGGTGGAGGAAGAACTCGAGGCTTAGAAACCCGGTTACATCTTCCATTGACTATAGTGGTAGTAGTTCTTAGTGTTGTTATTATTATTATTAGGCCTGAAAACCTCTTCTGTGCTGGTGGAAGCAGCGCTGGAGGCAGAGGGATGGGGTCCACATCCTGGCCACTGCTTCCTGCCTGTGATCTTGGGCGGCCACCATGTTCCTCATAGATTTGAGATTAAAGTCTACCCGGGGTAGAGCTGCGGGAGCCAGGCCTGGTCCAGGTGCAGCATCTGAGGGTTTACCTTGGATGTTGTAAAGACGTTGATTAAAGAAAAGAAATGAATGGTCAGCAGAGATAGGGAAATGTTTAAATGTGTCACCAGTCTGAGCAATATTAGTTAAAGCAAAGCCTTTTCACAATCAGGTCACTATAAGGCTGATAAAAATGAAAATACAGATAACACCCAGTGCTGGTGAGAACATGGGGAAACAGGCAGTGGCAGGTTGTTGGTGGGTATCTGAGTCACAAGCCAGGCTGAGTGGCCAAGAAGGTGTCCATGTGGCAATGCATGCCAGAATTTCACCAATATAAACCTTCAACACCATAATTTTACATCTAAGAATTGTCTTGGGAGCAGCATGCAGCATATCAGTTGGGCACAAAGGATCTGAGTCAGTTCCCAGCCCTGCCACATGTCCCTATAGAACCTTGGAACTCAGGTCTTGTCTGCATGGAGGGGCTATTAATACTAAATAGTTCTAAATAGGTCCTGTCTCAGAGTTGTGTGAGAATCAATGACGTGAAAAAGGTAAAAGCCTCAGCATGGTGACACAAAGGGAGCCCTTAGTGCTTAGTGGATGTGGGCTCTGCCAGTGAGCACACTCCACTGGGGGGGGG